TGAGTTAAACTCAAAGTCGGTTACTAATCTTTGACTCGTTGAGAAAAGAGCGGGCACTATACCAAGATATGATAGACATTATCCGGGGTAATTTCGATCTCTCGCGCACAACTATTATTGAATAGACTTTGCCATAATTTATTAACGATCGTACATTATTGGTGCATACGGGGTTTGGAAAGAGTTTATTCGGCAACATCGCAAGGATTGCAAGGCACCAATTAATGTAGTTGAAATACCGATAAGTTGTACTATATACACTTCCCCACGTGTTTAATTACTCTATCGTACTTCAATTTACGTGTGAGATGATGAGAATAATCTTCTTCTCAAATGCAGTGTGGTGTTTTGGCGAGAACCAGGTAATAACTTGTGTGGATACTACGTTTGTGAATTTATCACTATGCACATAAGAAGAACTCCTGAAGATGTCCTCAGAGTACGTATATATCAATTTTTATTTATTTTTAAATGAATATATATACATATATGTGTATTAATACTTTTTCTTTTATTTCAAATGCAAAAAGACTGAATGGTTGAAACGAAGGGTCATGCAAAAAGACCCATCGAAAGCAGTTCAAGAGTCAATAGCGAGGATATCTTGTAGAAAAAGTGCTAAATCCCAACAATGAGTTCTACTTTGATCCTAAGGAATAAATGATGTAAATTAAATGTTTATTGATATCGTTATTTTCGAGAACAAGATTATGAAAGTGTTGTATATATACATATATATATATATATATATATCTATAATATATATAGTTTCATACTTTATTCGAATATAATAATGCTCAAGATGAGAATTAGATGTAATTATATGCATGCGTGTATTTATATTAGCAGCGTAGAATACGTACAAAAAAACATATTATATATTAAACAAATACGTGTAACTGAACTGAAAACAAATTAAACAAAAAAAAAGAAAAAGAAAAGGAACCTTTAGTCCCGGTTGGGGTCACCAACCGGGACTAAAGGGTGCGCCAGGTTTGCTCGGCTGGAGGGCCTTTAGTCTCGGTTGGTGTTACCAACCGGGACTAAAGGTCCCTCTTTAGTCCCGGCTCGATGACCTGGGACTGAAGGTTCCAGCTTTAGTCCCGGGATCGTTGTCCCGGCGCGGTAACCGGGACTAAAGGCTGTTACCGCCCGGGACAACAAGTCCATTCTGTAGTAGTGTCTGTAGAGAGAGAACCCACCTGGAGTGCCATTCTAACACCTAGCCTAGTCCAATGGATTGTAGTTTTCATCTATGTGTAGAATGTGAAAAAGTTCATGTTCTAAAATCTTAAAACTAAACAAATCCAGAAGTTTATTACTGACATGACGGTTTACTAGGGGTAGCTCATAGCACTAGAACCAATGTAACCTTAACTCACATGTTATATAAAACTAGAACAGATATATTATCATATCTATTTGAGCAGCCATAAAGCAAATTGTTATGGAATCATGAAATACATTCCTTTGTAAATGAACAAGGAATAGTAAATGAAGCCATGAAGATTTTGTTGGTCTCGCTCTGATTATGTGTCAACAGAAGTTATTATGTTTAAATGTTTTTAGCCATATTGGATTTCCTTAGCCTAAAATTAATGTCCAGTCCTAGAGATTAAGGTTATTATCCGAATGTTCCCGAGATTCTTTTGGACAAGATTCAGGTCGTGTGTAGGGAAATCCGAAATATCTTTGATTCGAATCCATGGAATTAATATATGTGTACCTATGTGCTCACTATTCTAGTGAAAACGAATATGATGGAGTGTGTTGTCATGGAACTTCAAGTCTGGATGTTGTAGTTTTTCGCCAAAAAAATCAACGCAATTCTTGAGTTTTTGCAGCACAGCTGAGCAAGGTTTATGTTAATGATCATGTTGTTTTTTTCTTGAATGGATCTATGCCTTTGAGCCCAAACGACTTTTGTTTCGAACAGCTAGGAGGTTGGCCAATGATCCTCTTCATCTGTATATTGAAGGGCAGATTCATATCATAGATGGTGGACTGAACAAAAGTGGCATCAAACTTATCATTCTCCTTACTATATGGAAATAATTTAAGCACGAGTTTAGTGAAAATTAGATGTACTTCTGTTTGAATCAAGAGGTAGTGTTCAACATATAGCCCCTCCGCTCCTGTTTATTACTTGCTCTAGCTTTTCCCTAAGGTAATCTTACCTAACTTTGACATGTTTCTTAGAAAAATTACAAAAAATCTTGAACATCAAGTTTGTTTCATTGAATTCTTCATTGCGTATGTCTTGATGGTGCATTTTTGTTGTCAAGATTTATTTAAAACTTTTTCAAAGTTAGACAAGCTTGCTTTTACACAAAAATAAAGTGAATTGTAATCCAGAACAAAGGGGGTGTGTGGCAGATGCCAAGATAGCAATAAGCATTCCAGTTTTGTATATTCTATGCGTGTGCATGCATTTTATACATACTGGGATTTCAATTAGTCACAGTCTAACAGCATTTGTTCATTCGCTGCTTGATAGCTTCTCACATAACTACTGTATATACTTCAACCATGATGAGTACGATGCTACAACAAAGTCCGTTGATAAAGGCTTTGTGTAATATCCCGATTTTTTTTAAAACAAAATTAATAAGTTGACCGAACGGACTAATGAGATGAGCAAATTTTGACCATTTGAACCAGGAGTCATATGGGTGATCGGACACCGTGGTTGTGCAGATCTCGTCGAAACAAATTCATTTGAGTACTAAGATGTTTCGTTTGGAGGTTGGATGAATTTAGGAGGAACCGTTAAATTGACACCGTTGGATCTGATTTAGGGTTTGGTTTCCTGACCGGTGAATAAGAAGAAAAAAAGGACCCATTATGCCACTGGCTCTTCCTCACGCTGCTTTGTTCAGAGCCACATCCTCCTGTTCCCGCCGCTGCCTCTCGCCTGAGCTCTTCCTTTGTTCGCACCGCTCCTGTCTCTCTATCTCGTTCAAGCTGCCAACGTTTGAGGAGGTCCCCTTGCCAGGTCGTCTTCCCTCGCTGGAAATAGCACGCATCTTGCATGCATCCTCGCTTCTGTACCTCAGTTAAAATTTGGTATTTCATGTGGTATTCCATGTTAAAATTTGGTATACACTACACCACAACACCAAGATTAGCGATGGACGATCTGACGCTAAAAGCGGCTACAACGACAGACAATCTGACGCTAAAAAGTTATAGCGTCAGACTTCTGCAGACGCTGTAAGTCCTGTCGCTAAAAATGTTTAGCGTCAGACAGTACTTTTAGCGTCAGACAGTCTGCTGCCCTGAATATTTATAGCGACAGATAGTCCATTGCTACTTTTTAGCGACAGATAGTCCATTGCTACTTTTTAGCGACAGACTGTGCGATGGTACATATGGTTTTAGCGATAGACAATCCAACGAGACAATTTTAAATGGTTAAAAAAATAAAAATTAATCCATCAACAATTGTCCACAATAATACAAATGTCACTACACAACTAAGAACAAACATACACTAGTGAATGGCGCGCGCCATCGCGCGCCTACACATATATATGTATATTACACATGCTGATGTTTCCAAAGAGCTTATGCATATTTATATTACACATGGTACCGATGGTACTACTTGTTTTACTTGTAGCTAAAGTAATACAGTTTAGAGTACTGATGCTGCGGATATTGTCCTTGGAGGTTTAGGGAGGAGAGGTGACCTGTTCTCAAGTGGCAAATTGTGTATATAACCCCTTTTCCTTGCAGCAGCACAGAAGTACTTCGAGTCCACAAACTCCGGCTGAATATCATACAAGAATCTTGATATGATAGTCCAGACACCTTTTGGAGCAAGAGCAACATTCTCGTAGTAGAAGTATGGTGGACCCATAGCTTGTGAAGGTAGATCTCTGTTCACTGGTCTTGGCCACTGATCTGGCAAGCTAAATCCAACCATTGGATTTGGGAGCGGCATGGGTTCATCAGTGCTACCATCTAATGGGCCTCTACTTCCCTGTGCTTGACCTCCATATCTCTTTCTCTTTTTTTTGTTCCCATCCATGAACCTTCCCTTGTTTATCCCTCCATAGGAATTATCTTGCAGTATTGCAAACACAGTTCCATTATCAGACCATTAAATTAGAACTAAATCTTATTGCAGACTTGTGTGGACAGTTCACCTAAGACGAACCTCATAGTCAGACAAATTGCCATAGTAACCATCTCCTGCGGTCTGTGAAGCATATATTGAATCCACCAGAACATAAATAGATGCATCCAGCCCTTGTGTTTATTTGGTTTTTAGGTACCAAATGACAGCAGCATGCATGGGAACCGGGAGTAGCACCTTCATGATACAAGCACCTAGTTTACACATGCTTTGCTTAACTACAGGTTGCTTAATGGTTGGTTTGGATGAGACGATGTTTGCTATTGGGATGGATCCTTTGATACTATTGTTGGTGATTATATCGCCTTTGTAATGTGATTTACCTGTTTTAGATGCCCAGAATACTAGGGAAACTCTGCCAAAATTTTAAATGATTTGCAGACATAATAAAATTTAGATGTTGTTTGGTAGCCTAAGGTGGTGTTCCTATCCGGGGCGTTACACTTTGATTCACATGAGCAAGTCATAACATTACATATTCATCATGTTTATAAAGTGGAACAAATATGATGTGGCGAAGGCTTTGTCATGTGTAAAGATGAAGTTTCCACGTATGTCATTCCTCATGTATCTAGAGAACTCCTATAGAAAAAGACACTTTTTTATAGCACGTAGTGGACACTACTTGCCAACACATACCATATAATCCAACAAAACTGATAACTAAGCGTCGAAGTTGACTAGGTGCCATATCATCTCTAGCTCATCCGTTTTTTGGCGAAATCCGAGATCTGAACAGATATACATGAGCTCTGACTTGTATAAATAGGGCCCAAATCAATAGCTAATCCACCACCCATATCATTGATAGCAGTCAAAAACTTGCCAAGTGAAACGCACTAGCAACATCTTAGCAACAATGGCTGCCAAGATATTTGCCCTCCTTGCACTCCTTGCTCTTTCGATCAGCGCTACAACTGCGTTCATCATTCCGCAGTGCTCACAAGTTACTGCTGCGGGCTATGAACACCCAGTTCTGCGGGCCTATAGGCTACAACAGGTACTCGCGGCGAGCATCTTACAACAACCAATTGCCCAATTGCAACAACAATCCTCGGCTCACCTACTAGTACAGACCATCGTAGCGCAACTGCAACAGCAGCAGTTCCTGCCAACGCTTAGTCAACTAGCTGTGGCAAACCCTGCCGCCTACTTGCAGCTGCAACAGCTGCTTCCTACAAACCCACTGGCTGCGGCGAATGCCATTGAATACCTGCAACAACAACAGTTACAACAGTTCCTGCCAGCGCTCAGGCAACTAGCCGTGGCGAACCCTACCTCCTACTTGCAACAGCAACAGCTGCTTCCATTCAACCAACTAGCTGTGGCGAACGCCGCTGCATACCACCAACAGCAGCAGCCGCTTCTGATTACCCAGTCGGCTGTTGCAACCACCGCTGCCTACCACCAGTAACAGCAGCTGCTCCCAGTTAACCCATTGGCACTGGCTAACCCGTTGGCTGCCGCCTTCCTGCAGCAGCAACAATTGCTGCCATTCAACCAGATGTCTTTGATTAACCCTGCCTTGTCGTGGCAGCAACCCAACGTTGGAGGTGTCATCTTCTAGAATACAATTGAGTTGTACTTGATAACAATGCTCTTGTGTCGGCGTGTGCAACTTCCCAGAAATAATCAATACATTGATTGAGATTTATCTGAGTCTATTCCTTAATTTTTTTCTCTGTATAATCAATTGAAAAATATCAAATCATAACTACAGCCACGTGCTTGATTAATACGTAGAGAATACCACATTACATCATCAATATCAAGATGTGCCAGCCTGACCTCTTGAATGTTCTCATTTGGCTGTGTGCGTGGGTGTTTGTGAAATAGATGCGACTGTACGTGCGTGTAGTTGAGTACTTCCATCTATGGTATGTTGTTTTAAGAAAGCCATGGGCACATATGCTTTGACCATTGTCTATCAAGTCACGTGGACGTATACAAAGGAAAACATAATAGAAGTTCATGAGTAAACGTATATGTGCATGCAAAGTTGGTATGCAAAGTCACACCTCTTAATTATGTTTTCTAGTAAATATTTGGTGCGTGTGTTTTTATCTTGGAGCAAAATTGTGCAAGACACCATAATATTGTAGAAAAATAAGGAAATAATTGGAGCCCATGAACTTGACAAGGCCAAGGGCATTAAATCAACTGGACCCTATCAGTAACAATTTTGCAGTACATAACAACAAAGTATAAAACTCGTCGACAAAAAATATATGATGAACGTGAAGTTTAATTACCCACGAATATGTTAGAGCAAATTTTAAAGAGGGACACCAAACTTGCGTCAAATTGGCTGCTCAACACAGTAGCTCACTTTTCTGCTAGGTAGCATTACCAAAGATGGGATCTTTGTTGATGGGCACCGCACCGACTATAATATGATTTAGAGTGGGGCTATCAAAACCCAAAAGTAACGTCCCCAGATTAAAGTACTAAACGTCCACCGCCATCCTACTGTTCTGTAGAGAGAGAACCCACCTGGAGTGCCATTCTGACACCTAGCCTAGTCCAATGGATTGTAGTTTTCATCTATGTGTAGAATGTGAAAAAGTTCATGTTCTAAAATCTTAAAACTAAACAAATCCAGAAGTTTATTACTGACACGACGGTTTACTAGGGGTAGCTCATAGCACTAGAACCAATGTAACCTTAACTCACATGTTATATAAAACTAGAACAGATATATTATCATATCTATTTGAGCACCCATAAAGCAAATTATTATAGAATCATGAAATACATTCCTTTGTAAATGAACAAGGAATAGTAAATGAAGCCATGAAGATTTTGTTGGTCTCGCTCTGATTTTGTGTCAACAGAAGTTATTATTTTTAAATGTTTTTAGCCATATTGGATTTCCTTAGGCTAAAATTAATGTCCAGTCCTAGAGATTAAGGTTATTATCCGAATGTTCCCGAGATTCTTTCGGACAAGATTCAGGTCGTGTAGGGAAATCCGAAATATCTTTGATTGAATCCACGGAATTAATATATGTGTACCTATGTGCTCACTATTCTAGTGAAAACGAATATGATGGAGTGTGTTGTCATGGAACTTCAAGTCTGGATGTTGTAGTTTTTCGCCTAAAAAATCAACGCAAGCCACATCTTAGTCTTCTTTATCTTTAGTTTGTGCAGCACAGCTGAGCAAGGTTTATGTTAATGATCATGTTGTTTTTTTCTTGAATGGATCTTTGCCTTTGAGCCCAAACGACTTTTGTTTCGAACAGCTAGGAGGTTGGCCATGATCCTCTTCATCTGTATATTGAAGGGCAGATTCATATCATAGATGGTGGAAGGAACCAAAGTGGCATCAAACTTATCATTCTCCTTACTATATGGAAATAATTTAAGCATGAGTTTAGTGAAAAATAGATGTACTTCTATTTGAATCAAGAGGTAGACAAGCTTGCTTTTACACAAAAATAATGTGAAAATTTATTTAAAACTTTTTCAAAGTTAGACAAGCTTGCTTTTACACAAAAATAAAGTGAATTGTAATCCAGAACAAAGGGAGTGTGTGGCAGTGGCCAAGATAGTAATAAGCATTCCAGTTTTGTATATTCTATGCATGTGCATGCATTTTATACATACTGGGACTTCAATTAGTCACGGTCTAGCTGCATTTGTTCATTCGCTGATTGATAGCTTCTCACATAACTACTGTATATACTTCAACCATGATGAGTACGATCCTCCAACAAAGTCCGTTGATAAAGGCTTTGTGTAATATCCCGATTTTTTTTAAAACAAAATTAATAAGTTGAACGAACGGACTAATGAGACGATCAAATTTTGACTATTTGAACCGGGAGTCATATGGGCAATCGGAAACCGTGGTTGTGCAGATCTCGTCGAAACGAATTCATTTGAGTACTAACATGTTTCGTTTGGAGGTTGGATGAATTTAGGAGGAACCGCTAAATTTACACCATTGGATCTGATTTAGGGTTTGGTTTCCTGACCGGTTAATAAGAAGAAAAAAAGGGCCCCATTATGCCACCGGCTCTTCCTCACGCTGCTTTGTTCAGAGCCGCATCCTCCTGTTCCCGCCGCCGCCTCTCGCCTGAGCGCTTCCTTTGTTTGCACCGCTCCTGTCTCTCTATCTCGTTCAAGCTGCCAACTTTTGAGGAGGTCCCCTTGACAGGTCGTCTTCCCTCGCTGGAAATAGCACACATCTTGCATGCATCCATGCTTCTGTACCTCAGTTACTACTCTAGTTATTGTTTTCCCGTGAGTTGCTTTCATCTAATCTTGGTGCTCCTACGTGAAGCTGCTGGGAAGTAGCAAGGCTAGCTACTGCTGGCGCATAGATCCTGGGAGGCCACTGTCCTGAAGGCAAAGGGAAATAGCAGAAAGAGAATTGTGGCAAGAAAGAGGAGGAAAGAAAAGGTTAGACTTATGGTGATCTATTTAGTTCTTTGCGAAATTAAGGTTTCTGTTGTGGCAGCTGTCTTAAGAAGGACGTAGAGGCAGCAGTTACGTACGTGTACAAGTCAATTTGTAACTGGTTGATCAATTTGGAGTACGCTCTAATTAGGCAGATTGAATCGGCGAATTTCTGGGAATAATCTGTAAATTATCTCAACAGGTGAGTTAAACAAAAGTCACAGCTCTCATTTTTATCTTCCGAACGGTGCTTATTTCATTCAAATCCGATAAGTCATGCCCAAAATAGTGCTGCTTTCTAGCTAGACATATTCTCCGTGCATAAAACTTTTATCTATTTTAGAGGTATTTCGAGTCAGAATTGGTCCTGGATTTCTAAACCAAATTATAGGAAATTTTCTGTAGATATCCGAGATGTATTTATTTGCTGCATTTGGATAATAGAATTGAGAGTTATGGTCTAAACAGCAAGGAACTCAAATTTTACTGGATCTTCTAAAAATATAAGAATTGACATATTAGGGTTCGACTAAGAGGTTTAATTGAGCTTTTTCTAAAATAGCTTCGTGATCGATGTGGATTAGTTCCTATGGTAGTTTGCTCCTCGGGTCTGGGAAGTGCCGTTGCCGAGGGTGGCACGCATGCCAGATTGTCGCCAAACTTAAGGCAAGTGCATGACGAACCTATGTATGGGCTTATGCCTCTTGTTTGAGTTTTCAATTGATTCAATTGTTTCATGTGCTATATGATTCAAGTTCCAATTGTTCTTTTAAATTCAATTCCTGTTTCGGTGGATCCGGATGTGCAATTTGGTTTTTATATTCAAGTTCAAGTTTCATGATTTCTTTTAGAGTAAAATGCTCCTGATGTCCATTAACTTTCGTTGGGGTGTTATCTAGGTCCATCAACTTTGAAACTGTATTTTTGGATCCATTAACTTTCGTTGGGGTGTCATCTTGGTCCATCAACTCTGTAACTGCATTTTTTGGTTCATGAACTTTTAAAATGGTTCACTGCAGGTACATGCCATTTATTTAACCTTAAATCCAACGCATGCATGCAAGCATGTCGGCTTCGGCCTTCGGTCTTTGCGTCGGTGGAGACCAGCCAGGGCCAGCGTATATCGCAGTGGGGCAGTGGTTGGCTGTGGCTGCCCTGTGCTGTGCCCGCCCGCCCACGTGAGCCCATGCCGCAAGGCTCAGTGGCTCACCGGCACCGTGGCGGCGTGTGCGGGCTCCATCCGAGCGAGGCGTGCACGAGCACGACGGCACGAGCCAGGAACGGGGCCAGGCCAGCACCAGTTCAGTTGGATGACGCAACGCAATCTACTTTGGTTGCTGCTGTGATGCAAAATCTTGAGTACGGCTGCAACATCATCCAGAACTGCAACCTGGACGACGGCCTCAACGGGTCGTTCCTGCTATGCCCCTGCACGCTGTCCATCCACGACGGCAGACCTCAGGTGCTCCCGCCCATGGCGCAGGAGTCCCTGGTGCTGGACGACGAGCCACTCAACGGCAAGCACATCCACGTCACCAACTGCACACAGACGTGGATGGGCCCCGCGTAGATCATCACCGACAAGCTTACGCTCTACGCCACGTACCAGGTCTCCGCCTGGGTCTGCGTCGGCGCCCTGCAGGGTAGCGGCGCCGGCGCGCCATAGACCATCAACATCGCCTTCGCCATCGACAGCTAGTGGATCAACAGCGACCAGGTCCTGGCGTGCGACGAGTGCTAGTTGGTATGAGGTCGGCGGCGCGTTCCGCATGGAGGCGAAGCCGGCGTCGCGCGTCATGGTGTACGTCCAGGGCACCGACGCCGGCGTCGACCTCATGGTCGTGGGGCTCCAGGTGTTCCCCGTGGACCGGAAGGCCCGCGTCAAGCACCTGAAGCGGCTCACCGACAAGGTGCGCAAGCGGGACGTATTGCTCAAGGTGACGGGCGCCGACGGGGCCACCGTCAAGTACGCCGACGGCGTGGAGGTGCGCGTGCGCTAGGTGCCCAACAG